TTTTTTTTTTTTTTCTTTTCTTTCTCATATTTTTTTTCTTTCTTTCCTTTTTTGTTGGACCATAGGAATAGCAGGGGCGGCACAGACCCGACTTCATGAATCCCAGAGATTGGGGTGCATCCAGACACCATACGAGAGAAAGGAGGGCTAGTCCGATGGCATACATCCAAAGACAACCAGAGATCACACCGAATAGTCTCATCTGTAACAAGAACGAAATACATTTTCCACCCCGTTCCTCTGCTGCCAATCGTTCACGTGGTTCCATATGGGGAAAAAAAGGAGGAGGGTGGGCGGTGGGAGGGGGGGGAGGAAACGGGGAATGGGGAGTGGGGGAAATGGGGGAAAAATAGTTATATCCTGCTTCAACTCTATCCTCAAGATCCAGTGCGTTCCTGCATCCACGTGGATCATCTCACCGAATTGCGGGAAGAGCGTGGCAATTCCCTAAAGCGCTTTTCTACCTCATGCCGCGTGGGGCGTTATCAGAGGGGGGGACATCTTCGACGATCTCTGGAAGGCGGGGGGGTGGTCGGGTTACGAAAAGGGGTGCAGTGAGACAGGGATGATGGAGGGTTGTGGGGTCGAGGGTTGAGGGTCGGGGTGGGGGGGAGGTGGAGGGAGGGGTCATGCGGAGGGGAGCAGGGAAAGGAGTAGATGAAGTAGAGGAAGGAAAGGAAGGAGAGGAAAGAAAGGAAGGTAAAAAAGGCGCATGTTAATGGAAACATCGCTTGCCTTTTTTTCCCTCCTCTCCTTCTCTCCTTCCTCTCTCCCTTTCTTTCGTACCTTCACCTCTTTCTCTCCTTCTCTCTCGGTTGTTTCTCTCGTCCTCTCCCCTCCTCCCGCTCTCTTCCCCCCTTTCCCGCCTTCCCTTTAATTGGATTTTTTTCCCACTGTAGCCAGTTGATATTTTTTTTCACCTTATCAGACTACCTCTTCCGGCGATGACTCGTCCTTTGCTGCAATTTCAACAAGTTGATGAATGTGTATGATCGTGTCTGAGCAATTGCATGCAATAAATTGTTTTTAAATGATTGTCGTGCTCTTCGGTAATTTCTATACATTCAGATCGTTTTGCGTGTCTTCCTTTCCTGATATTTTCTATCGTAATATATTGTTGATGCCCTCTCGGGGAACGAGGCACCCCTACCCATCTTCACTTCGATTAACCACCAACGCATAATTGGCCAACTTCGACCATAAAACGGCCCCATGTTTTTACCCTCACCACAAATGTGGACACACGAGTGGTTTAACCTCGCCGCGGTGATTCGGTGAAAGATCACCTCCCACGTCTTGCTTTTTTGCTCACAACGTGCCGACGCTTCTGGTTGGAGTAGCACGGGTATGACATGTCGTGCTCGTGCGAAATCATGTGACACACACATGTGACTCACACACACAGACACACACACAAACACACTCACAATCCCCCCCCCTTCCCCACACAATCAATCGATCAATCAATCAATCAATCAATCAATCAGTCAATCAATCAATCAATCAATCAATCAATCAATCAATCAATCAATCAACAAATTAATGAATCAATTAAGATCCTATCGATTGATTGATTGATTGATTGATTGATTGATTGATTGATTGATTGATTGATCGATTGATTCTCTCTTTTTCTTCTCTTTGTCCCTCTAACTCTCCGCTTTGTTTTTCTCTCTCGCCTTCCGCTCTCTCTCTCTCTCTCTCTCTTTCATCCCTCTCTCTCTATCTCTCTATCTCTCTTTCTCTCTCTCTCTCTCTCTCTCTCTCTCTCTCTCTCTCTCTCTCTCTCTCTCTCTCTCTCTCT